AGTAGTTCTTCTGGAGAAAGTCGCTCAGATTGTGCGCCCCCTCAGCGAGGGGCCCGTCGAGGAGGGTGTGTATGTGGCAGCCGCAGGGGAAATGATTGTTGATCAGCTGCAGGTGATCGACGCCATCCACGATGATGGCATTCGGATCGGGCGTCTCCAGCACATGGTTGCCATGGAACTTCAGATGCTTGATGGCGGCTGTGTGCGTGAAGTTGAGCTCCTCAATCGAGTCGATTTTGTTGTTGAGTATCTGCAGCGTCTCCACCTGGGTGAGACCGGTGAAGGCGTCGGCGCATATGACGCCCAAGTCGGACTCCTGCAGCGTCAGCAGCAGCACGTTGGACAGGCCGCGAAAGGTAAACGGCGAGATCTCCTTGAGATCCATGTAGGCCAGCTTCAGCAGGCCGACAGCGTCCATGCCGAAGAACGCGTCCTGCTCGATGCTCCGTATGCCCGACGGCAGTATCAAATGGCCCACATTGGTGAGGCTGGAGAACGCCGATGTCTCGATCCGGATCAGGGGATTGTTGCTCAGCAGGATCAGCTTGATGTTCGACGTGCCCGCAAAGGCGTTGCCCTCGATCCGCTGAATTTGATTGTGACTCAGCAGAATGGTGGACAGATTCTGCAGTCCGGCGAAGGCGAACTGCGCCACCATCTGCAGCGGCGTATACTGTATGGATAGCTCACGCAATCGGGGCAAGCCACGGAATGCGAACTGCTTGATGCGTGTTATGTTGTTGCCATCCAGCGAGAGCTTCTTCAGCGCCCGCAGTCCGGCAAACGAGTCCGGCTTAATGATGGGAAAGTTGTTTTTCGTCAATGCCAGATTCTCCACTGTCGCTGGCAGCTGGCGCAGCGGAATCTGCTCGAGTCCGCCCGTGTTACACAGCACCTGCACGAAAAAGATAGAGAGTGAGAGAGAGTGAGAGAGAGCGACATAGATAGAGTGTGAGAATGAGATGGAGTAACTGGCATAGAGGTGCTTCGGTAGGGCGGGGCAGGTGTCAAGATGTTAGTCAATGTTGGTGCGAAAAATTGAATTTGCGGCTTTATTGCTGCCAAATAAAATTAAATCGAATTTTTTTTTATGCTCTTTGTTCTCTTTGTCATACCCTGTAAAAGCTGTAAACGGGTATATGCGTTTTTTGGCGAATGGTCAAGGCATATCTTCAAGTTTATATGATGTTCGTCGAATATCTCTGGGGCTCCTTCTCCTTTAACTAAACTCGCCGATATATATCGGTTAAACTTAAGTTAGCTGCATATGTTTACCGATTGGACTGTATAGAATAGTCTGTTGGGCAGTTTCTCATACTAAATCTGCTGCATGGGATGGTCGGATATTTCTAACTATAAGCAAACTCTAAAATCGATAACTATCGATTATTAAACTTAACTTATCTATTCAAGCGCAAAAAGTCTTGCTTGTGATTGTGAGATTAGAGCTAAGTGCATTGCCAATAGATGAAAAGCTCACAGCGTTTAGGTTTAGTTATCTTAGGTATATTAGCTTCGTATATCATCGATTAAGATCGATAACACAAAACCGCTATTCACGTTATAGAGTTTTATTCTATTACACACAATACAGATTAGCCACTCAAATCGATAATTTGCCCATAGCACTTTCATCGATAATTATCGAGTATAGTTTCGATAAATTATAATGTTGTATATATAAATATCTACATGTATATCAGACTCTCTTACGCTGTCTATATACATATCTATCTATATCTATAGTCTACTTTGAGCTCAGCTCATTTCCATTGCTCCAATTGAGTGCAGGGTATCTGCCTAGTCGCGCACTCTTTTGCTTGTTCATTGTTTTGTTTTGTCGCCGCGTTTCTGTTGCTCGTTTCGTTGTTATTTTCGTTGTTTCTTTTTAATCAACCCCCCCTTAGCAGTTGCTTCCGCCCCCGCCCCCTTTGCTGACCCATCCCACCCCCACCCCCTCGACATTGCTTTGCGCCACGCTTTTCGCAGCTCGCTGCTCGCTGCTCGCGTCTCGTCTCCTCTTTGTGCTTTCATTTTTTACAACTATTATGTGCTGATGCGTGCGTTTGTGGGCATACCTCCGCCCAGCCCGCCCCTCTTGCACTGTATGGCTACAATGTCCATTCTAGACATGCCTCGTTCCATCTACTCCGTCTTTACACTCTGCCTTATCTGCTGTAACTCCTCCTGCTCATCCATTTCCTACTCCTGCTGCTGCTGCTGCTTCTTCTTCTTCTACTGCTGCTCATCGTCCATCTGTCTGTCGCATCGCTTGTCGCTGTTTCGTTGATGTCATCGCTGCCCGCCTCTGTCCAGCTCTTTTACAGTCCTCCTTCCTTTCGCATTTGCACAATTTTCATACGCTTCACCTCTTAAATGAACGAATTAAAAGTTTCATTTCTTGCTGCTTCTGCTTCTGCTGCTTCTTCGTCTTCCTCGTCTTCCTCGTCTTTTGTGTTTTCTGATTTTATTTTATTTTTCTTGTTTAACAATTGTTTATGCGACTGCCGCCAAATGTTTCATTTCAATACGTTGCGCTGCGTTTCATTTTATTGTTCGATAAGCTCTATATTCCAGTCTGTAAATGCGCTTAAAGGGTATGAACTCTGCAAACTTGTGTATGTATATATAGAAATATATACAACAGTATGCATTTGATTGGAACAGAAATTCATAAGTAATAAAACTAAAGATCTATGAGAACTAAATTGAACTGTAGCAAAACAAACTGCAAAACGTCAACAACTTTTTACTACTCTGCGCTTGAGTTTTATTTGTAAGCTATTGTCATGCCAATATCTTGTATTTAATGGGAATACCTAACTTTATAATATGGCGCACTATGTTCAATTCAATTGAATTCGAATCCCTTCTGGGTAATTTTCAGTTACCTTGATGAGTATGTCTGCTATATTTTCTTCAGCTATATAAAACATTCTTTAGAGTGTAAAGACTGTACTACTGATCAAATTTGTCTACAGTCATGCCTGCCTACTGCAGCCTTGATGCTAATTGGCCTGAATCTAGTTCTGGCTCACACTCTAAACTGATAGCAGCTGCAGCAGATATTTATGATTTCCTAGCCAAATGGAAGATCTTACTGAGTATTTAGATATCCAAATATTATCGATAACTTAAACAACTGCATGTAGCTATCGAAAATGGTTACTCTCCTGTTTGGTCATGGCCAAAACTTGAAGTTCTCATTTCTAATGGTCTCTTAACCCTATTCAAATACCTAAGCCAACACAATTAGCAAACCAATTAACTGTATTTTCAACAAGATAAAATCTCTCAGCATATATACACCGATAAACATATAAATGTATATGTATATATATAGATATATGGGTGAGCAGCCGAGTCTAAGTTGGCCACTTGAAGCTGCGCGGAAAAGTAGGCAACGGCTAAGCACAATTTTTGAATACAAAGCAAGAGGCACTTCTAAGGACTCGCGCTGCTCTTTTACCTCAATTCATTTATTAATAATTTTTTCATTTTCATTTTTGTTTTTGTTTTTGTTTTTGTGGCGGGAGGAGGCAGAGTACTGGGCCGAGTAAATCATTTCATTGTTCATAATCTGGAATAATGAAATCACTTAAGTTCTCAATTTGGTAAAAATGACGATGCCAGCAGCGCTCGCTCGCCCCATTGGTAATAAGGATGCGCATTAAGCGTGCCTAAGTGGGCCGCCGAAAGGGCGGCGTTGCGGCTAAGGGCGGGGCGTGGCAGTGCCTACTGCCATCATTTGTTTTTTTGTTTTTTTTGTTTTTTGTTTCTGCCTCTTCTCGTGTTTTCTGTTCACATCCTCCAAACTATTCGCGCAGCTGGCCGCAAAAATTCTCGCGGGAGACAATTGAATACGAAAAGAGTGCAAGCGCAGGGGGCACTGAGTTGACTGACTGGCCGTATACCCTGTATAAATAGTTGTATCCATGAAAAATGAATTGGCTTGCTTAGCATTGTTATACCGTTAACTAGATCCATATCTGTCTGTATTATTTATATCCAAGGCTGTCGCATCTACCCTTTCTGGCGCTAGCTACAGGGTATACCAAGTGGTAGCGAGGCGCAGAGCAGCAAATGTAACAAGTGGAATATGCCATGCCCACAGCAAATGCCGCCGCTGCCCCGCCCCTGCCCCGCCCCTGCCCCTGCCACTGCCTCCATGGCTGTCCATTGTGCAGTTTGTGAATTGTGAAACAAAGGGAAATGAACATTTTTGCCCAACATTTTCGATATAATTCTACTCGCTCTCTGGCACTTTCTCCCTCGCTCTCTCTATCTATCTCTGTGTGTGGCCAAGAGGTTGACCAGGCCGAGGATCCCCCAGACGAACTCTCTATAGGCCACCAGCTGATGATGATGATGATGATGATGCTCCTGCTAACAACTACAAAGATATGAGAGAGAGTGCGAGAGAGAGAGAGTGAGAGTGAGGGGGGGGAAGCGGGAGAGAGGGCTAGAGGTAGATGGTTAGACATTGTTAAGCTTACTTGAGTCTGGGACAAGCAGATGCACTCGGCTGGGCATGATTTGGATGTTTCGGTTTGTTGCGAGTTCCACAGGCAGACAACAGTGAGCGCAATTATGAGCAGCAGCCAGGAATTGCACATTTCACGTTTCTTCTTCTTGTTGCTGACACGACAGTTTGGCGGCGTAATTGAGCTCGATTCACTATCTCACTTCCACACACACACACATACACAGGGAGAGAGAGAGAGAGAGAGAATGAGAGGGAACGGACGGAAAGGGGCGTGATTCAACTGCTGCTGTTGCGTTCGCTGCTCCCTCGGCTGCCAGTTGGCCTTTTGCCTTTGCCTCGTTGCGTTTTGGCCTGCTGCTGCTGCTTCTTCCTCTTCCTCTGCTGCTGCTGCTGCTGCTGCTGCTGTGCTGCTTGTCCTTCCTCTTGCTTTGCTGCTGCTGCTTACTTATTTATGTTTTTTATATTGCGTTATTTCATTTGAACTTTCTTTTTATATATTCTTAAGCTTAATCATATTTATTTATGCTGCTGCTGCTTCCACGTGCTGCAAAAAGAAACAACAAAATGAGAGAGAGAGAGATAGCATAAGATAACGAAATGACAATTGTGCGAGTTTCATTTGCACTTTTCCAATGCGACACTTAAAACTTATGACTTACTATAAATATAGGCACAGCTACATATATATACATATTTATATCTATATTTATACATACATAACACTAAAGAAGCCTACACTTAAAGCATACGCAGAGATTGATTGAGGGAGAGTGAGAGAGAGAGAGAATGAGGAAGAGAAAGACAACATGCAAAATTGATGCGCAGATTAGAGTTGCTGTAGACAGCTACAGGAGGGTTAATGTTAGATCGACAGTTGGCATGAACCTGGCACCTGGCTGCGGTTCAAAGCCAGTGCTCAAGCTCAGTGTTTAGCTCTTAAGCCCCACTGCCCCGAAAACTCCAGCAGCTGAATGAGAAGGCAAGGCAATGCAAGTCATGGCAAAGGCCGCATTGCTGCTGACGTTGATGTTGGCTTTGGCTTTGGCGTTGGCTTTGGCTTTGGCGTTGGCTTTGAGACTGGGCACTTGGTTCTGGCTGGCTGGTTGGCTGGCAGGCTGGCAAGCTGTCAGCTCCTGCTGCCATGTCCAAAATAGCTCCTTGTTAATCCTCAATAATAAATAAGTAATGTAAGGTGGACGCCAGCTTGCAGCTGCTTGCAATAACAGCAACAACAAAGCCAGTGCAATATAATAACTAAAATTGCTCTAAAGAGAATTTGCGATAAGGCGTCGCTGCTGATGCTATTGCTGCCGTTGCTGCTGATGGCAAGCGGGTTGGTGGGCCTGTTTGAAATGTTTAAATGCACAAATCAAATATGCAAGCAGCCAAAATGACAAACAGACAAACAGTCAAACAAGCACCTGATGTCCAGCTGAGCTGGGCTACGTATGGCTTTTAATTGAACATGCTGGGTAACTTGGCCTAAGCAAAATGTCGCACACAATGCCACATGCGGAGAAAAGGGGAAACATGTTTGGTGTCAGCCAGACACAATAAATATGCATAGGCATAAATCCGTGACATTATAATTGGAAAGCCAGCAAATATGGCTGCAGGCGCAACGCGTAAGTGTGAGTGAGAGTAAGTGATAATGAACGCATTATTAAAGCACAAATGCAGCAAACTGGCTGTGGGAGCGGGACTGGACGTGTGCAGCGAATCGATCGGCTGACACTTTAAGTAGCCGCCATGTTCTTCAGGATAAGTGTGCTAGTGTGAACGCGAAAGAAAATTTAAGTAGAGTGTAGACTATTAAGCCACTGTTGCTAAGAGTGAGCGAGAGAAGAGGGAGCTTTCAGAACGAAGAGCGAGGCTATACGCATTGTATAAAACTGATCTAAGCAGCGCAAAAGAGACAGATATATGTGTATGCACGACAGTTATACCCAATGGCCGTTTACTGGAGATTAGAGAGTGTAGAGTTTTGCAGACACTTAGTAGAGCGAGTGAAAAGAGGCAATATATACATATATGCAGTGTGCCGTTTTACTTCTCCCATTGACAATAATTACATATGACTAAGTGAATAGCAAGTCTGAGTTGCTATCGCTTAAAGCTGTGGCAAAAGGAAGAACGAGAAGGAAAGTAAACTTTAAAACGTACGCGCTCATTCTGGTATGTGGTGTACATTGGCGGCCATCTTTGTCACACAGCGTGACATTTTGGCAGCATTGGGAAAAACCTTTGCAGGACCTGAAGCTATGAGCACACGAAAATCTGTGTGTGAAGCGACGCGACACGACGCGACGGTCGCGACGGTCGCGACGCTCGACGCCTGTCGTACCTCACACAATCGCATTACGTTCTGATCTAAAGGGATAAAAGCAAAATAACAAAGCTCAAATAATGCACAGACAATTGTGTAAGCAGCTGCTATGGAAGAAGAAGAGGAAGAACGGCTACAGCACGACACGAGCAGCAGTAACAGCAGCGATGGCAAAAGGAATCACAAATGTGGCAACTAAAGCAGGCACCAGGAAACAGCTTAGCGGAACAGCAACAGTAACAGCTCAGTCTAGTTGCTTACTCCATGCGATATGTGGCACAGCATCCAGCAGCCAGCAGCCAGCATCCTACTGCAAGGCAGACACTGCAATCGCCAATGATGCAGCAAGAGAGAGCAGAGCAGAGAATAAGGCAGCATGCGCAGCTAATCAATCAATTTTATTCAACATTTTATTGAATTAACACAGTTGAAGTTGTACAGCGGCTTACGAAACAGACGTTGCCCATGTCCAGGTCAATATCTAGTGCAGAATCATCTCTGACCTCTGTTCTCTGTTCTCTGTCCTCTTGCCAATGCCTGTCTACCGCCTGCCGTTGGCTAGCCATCATTTATGCTGGCCGTGTCATCGTTTAAGCCAACATTATAGCCAATTAGTAAATAGATTTAATGGCAAAGACATTGCTCAGCATTCCACAATGCAATGCTATTATGGCCTTCTATCAATCACAAATTGTGGATAGATATTCCAATTTCGGTTATATAACCAACAATTATGTGGCGAACGTGTGCTTGTGCGTTAGAGCGAAAGGGTTAGATAATTGAGTGCAACAAAGCGATTTTAATTGCTTTACTTTTCACACAGTTATTCATATACAAATGAACAAAACTAATTTGCTGTGCTGCTGTCTCGCTCGAGCGCGTGAGGTGTACATTTTTGCACACTTTGCTGTGCGACTACCTCGCTCTAACATGTAACTGAGTACGTACACACATTTATTTGTAGATTTATGCATACTTGGGAAAGTGGAGAGTTGATCAGAGGCAAATGTTTGCCTCTGTTTGCTGCTGTCCCACTCGAACTCATTTAAACTCTGCTCGCATTGCGAGTGTCTGCTTTGATTGGTTGACAGACTTACTGATTGATGATCAACAACGGAGGCAGCAATAATTTCCAAATAGCAGAAAATTCAATTTTTCACAAAAATTTTCCTTTGTGTCGTAATTAAATACTGACACACATGCTGTACAGTTTCTGCTGCCAGGCTGTGAAATTTATGTTTCTCTTTATTATCATTTTTTGTTTAGACTCAACTTTGAAATGCTTTGTGTAATCGTAACTCAGGCGAATTAACGAAAAAGAGCAAAAAACAAAAATCAGAAATGCAGCTCAGCTGACAGTTTTGGTAGACAATAGTCGGATTTAAAGGCTTAAATTAATATTTGAGGATAAAGTGATTTTACATTTAATGAAAAGTATATTTGCCTTAGCCAGAGTCGGAAAAGTGTTTAAACTTGGACAGCATTCAATTTAGACACAAATAGCAAATGCCAGCAATCAGAGTAAAGAACTTGGAAGCAGTTGAGCAAACTTAACCCATATGACAATTGAGTGGAGGAGGAAGCTGCTGCCTTCACTTGAAGCTTGGCAACTTTCTGTGTGACGTAAGATGCGTTGCGGCCGATGATAATCAGGCAAGGAAGCAATATCTATAAGATATGTGAGCTCATAAGTTAATGTCCGTTTCACGAGCTAAATAAATATCGTTAAATAGATAAGCAAAGAAGCCAGCAAATAGAATTATTTTTGCCACGCAGCACACAGAGAAGGCGACCGCAGAGCCAGAGCCATGCCAGGGCTACGCCAGAGCCAGAGCTCAGAGTCAGGATGTTGGCCAAAACGACAAACGACCCACGACGGACAAAGGACACAGGACACGGGACACGGAATACACTCGGACGATTGGACGATTGGACTTGGGACATTTGGACGTTTGTGTCGTTTGTCGTTAGTCGCCGGGGCCACATTCAATTGCTGCCAACTGGCGAGCGAACTAAGGGCTCCAGCACATATGAGCTGGCAGGGAGCACCTGCAGCAGTAGTAGCAGCAGCAGCAGCAATAGCAACAGCAGCTGGCAGAGGCAAGTGCTTGACCGACCACTAGCGTTCGCTTGCCATGAAGATAATTTAGAAAGCCGCACAAAGCACAAAGCACACACAGACACTGGGACAGAGGGCGGGAGAGGCAGAGTTGGGCCATCAGTCAATGCAGAAGGCTGTGTCCCGCTTAAATTAGAGAGGGTGAGAGAAAGAGGGAGAACATTAAGTAAGTAAGTTTTGTGGTTGCAATTGAAAAACGAGCTGAAGCTCTCTTAAAGCGGGCAACAGCGGCCAGCAATGTGGCCGACACTTCATTAACGTGGCCTGACCCGTTGGCCGCTTGGGTCTTGGCCATTTTAATGATCAGCAGCTGCAGCTGCAGTTGATCACAGTTGAAGCTGTTCAACGACCAGCTATGCATTTAATTGCTCTTTGTGGGCGAGCAAAGGACCAGCAGTTCACAATATTTTGGCTACTTGCCAGCTATCAGTATTGCAATGTCTGTATGTATATTTGTGTGCGTTTCTCTCAGTCTCTCTCTGTGGGTGTGTGTGCCCGCTTATCTTTTCAGTTAAATGCCTGTGCCTGGGTCGCTAATCAAATTATGAAAGCCTTGTTAACAACAAGAACAACAACAACAAGGAGAACGACAACCAGAACAATTGTGAGCAATGACGATGTGCATTGGGATAAGAATGCTAGTCGGAATTCACCTGGTCAGTGGCCTATGGCATGCATTGATAACCAACATACAACTAGGCAGGTGTTGTGTTGCTCTGTAATATGCATATCGAAGATGTTCGTCTGCATTTGAAGTATATTAAAGACAGCTCTTCTGTCATTCAATCCTATTGGATCGACAGTTGAGTAAGTGAGATGGCATGATATGCATGACAGCAGATCAAAACTCTACACATGCAGCTCTCTCCCGCCCTGTCTCTCTCACGTATTCAGCTGAGCCCCTTTAAAGATGGCCGTCTACATATACAGTTAAGCTGAATAGTGTGCATACAAGCATTGGCTTACTCAACGTTAAGTGACAGAACGAAACTCAAGACCCCTCTCAGACCCCCCTCTCTCTCTCTCTCTCTCACCCACTCAGCAATCAAATTATGAATGTGCTGTTAACAAAAGCAACCAATAGCAAACAACAAGAGCT